CCATCGGGGGCCACGGTCCCGCGCCCCGCCGTCCCCCGGCAGCCGGGATCACCCCAAGCCAGAGACCCGCGAGTGCTCACCTCATGGCTGCGGCCGCAGCGGCGAAAGGAAAGACTCACTCCGGCCGGGCTCCTCCCATTATCTGTGAAGGGGAGAGGCCATTCCCGCTCCGCTTCCAGCCGTACTCCCCTCTTGTCCTTTCATCTTCCGCCATCCTAAACTTACTTACATCGAGTGTCAATACCCGAGATGATAGGAGCGTGATATCTGGAATCGTTTTAAACTTAAAAACATAGAAAATATACCCCTTTGGTAAGGCAAAGTGGTACAGTCCGACTTCCTGCTACGCACGCGCAGCCGGATCACGTGGTGAGTGGGAGCCGGATGTCAGCTGGATTGCGCAGGCGCGGTAGGGGATTTTGCTAGAGTGGCCCAGTCCTTGCAGGCACCCTGTATTCTCTGGAAAGATGTTTTATTAGCGCGGGTAAACACATTAGTGAATGAAGCGGAAGAAAATAATAGGGCAGATATTAGGCAAAAGCCACCTTTTTATTCATTTTCTCGGTAGATCGGGAGCCCCTGGAGTGCAGAATAGGTCACCAGAGACATTAGCTTGTTTTTGCACCACTGTGGTTCTTAATCTCTTAGTGCCTCAACTTTCTCCTATGTAATATTTCCGTAATCCAGTTGTGAAAATCACGTGAGTTAATGTTTGCAACTCGCAAAGGGAAGCTTTAAGACAAGCTTCTTGATCGTAGGAAACTTGTTTGGCTTACACTGCACTACAGCAGGTTTAGAGCGTAGAGCATAGTAAACACTTGAGAAATAGTATTTTGGCTGAGTGAATGCATAGCTGTGAAAGTTTGAAAACAATTCGAATGACCGCACAACCCATAGTTCTTCCCTCCTGGTCTGGCGTACCCAGTGCAAAAACCCAAGGAGAATATTCTGGGGTCCAATAGAACCTTGATCTGAGTGCTGGCTCCACCTGATTACCCCATCTCTGTCTGAATTTTCCTGGCTGCTAAACAGAGCTCGGGTCAAAAAGGGAGAAAGAGGAGCAAAATTTATGCCACTTTCTCACAACACAATTAGTGTCACTGTCATGTTACAGCTAAGTGAGGTATCAGAAATGGAAAATCCAGGTATTTCTGACTGCAAAACCCATGCCTTCTGTCATGCCAAGCTCTCTTGTGCCTAATGGGCCGATGGAGACCCTGCTCCGGATTGGATCTGCTCATAGGACAATGCTAATGGGTTTCAGCTGCAATCTCTCTCAAAGCGATGTGATCAGAAAAACAATGTAGGCTGGCCATCTACTTGTTGCAGGCCGGCCTTATATTAGGGTCACTAAACCTGGGCAAATCTCCATTCTACTTCTCACCTCTCCTCTTTGTGGAACAGCAGGAAGGGTAGATTAGGGAGATAACAGGTCCTCCTGTCACGACTGACCCCTACACAGCACCTTACAACATCTCCAAAGGCCCCAGCAATCCATCATTTAATTTAATTTTCCCTCATCCTCCCAATAATCCCAGGCGACAAAGATACCACAGTACTGGCAACCCCATTTTACGGAAAAGGTGTAGTGATTTGTCCGGTGCCACATGACCAGAAGGAGCCTGAGCCAAATTGGCACCAAGGTCTCTTGCCAGAATCCCCTACTCCTTTTCTCTCTGAAGATCATGCATGGTAAGTGGAGTCCAGGCCTTGGATATTTGTCCCCAAATAAGGATGAAGAGGGAGCAATCCTAAGTCAATGGTCATTAGATCTGATTTTAGCCAGTCTCCTCTCAGCTCATTTCTTCGTCCTTTTTCTTCTCTCTTCCAAAGTACACGGACCTCACCCAGCCCCCAGCCCGGCCTTTTGGAAGGGCCTGGGATACTAGCAGCCAGGACAGATGGACTCCTGGGTCCCTGGGATTTCTTGTGCTCAGCTGGGGCCC